GATTTTATTTATATGCCGCCCTTTTCCCCTGAANTCATTATCATATCTATCTATCTATCTATCTATCTATCTATCTATCTATCTATCTATCTATCTATCTATCTATCTATCTATCTATCTATCTATCTACAATGTGAATGCAACACCCATCAACCCACACCCTTGGTCACCTCAACAGGATCTATTCTATGACAATTCACTGCAGCCAACGTGCCATGGCCAACTCACCATGGATCAACTGATTGCAAGACGAGAGTTACACTAATATCAAAGAAATGGCAGAACAGAATGATTAAGAAAGGATGCCAAAGGAAGGACAGAATAAAATCTGTATGATGAAAGTGGAAATATTTTAAAATTTATTATAAATAATTCAATTGAATTGTTAAATTGTCACATGGTGACTTGTTGCACAGCAAGTTGGCCGGAATGAGTTGGCCACAGCGAGGTGTCCCATTCCGACCCCAACAAGAGGATTCTGGGAATTGTAGTTCAGCAACCATTGGAAGGCTCCCATTTCCCCGTTCTTTGCTAGCCTGACCTCTTCTTGTCATGCTGCTAACTGTCGAGGGACAATGTTTGGGTGGTGGGGGAGGATCTCTAGAACACAAAAACTTTTCCAAGGGGCTGCTCACAAAACTAGACCACAGGCTGACCCCGGCCTCGCTTCAGTTCTCACTTCAGGTGCTTCAAGAATACCTTGCAACCTTTGCGAGAGAAAGTTTCTGGCCTGTGAGGATCATAATTCCAGCTGCTTTGGAAATTATGTACGCGCCGGAGAATTTCATATCTGTTTACTTTACTATTAAAAACTTGGGACCGCGGATGATGGATTAAGTGAAAGAAGCAGGAACTCAAATGCCCAGCTCGGCAAACTTCATAGCGCTGATCAGCATTAGTATAAAATGGATGGCGTGACAAGGCAGAGAAGACGTTTCAACATTTAGCTTTTGCAAAAACAGTTCTTAAAGTAGAAAAGTGCAGTCATACTGGGAGCTAACTTTGGAGTCTCTTTCTTGGCATTCCAATAGATTTGTGGTCAGCTGCTCCTTCTACCCCAGGGGTGTCAAACTCAAGGCCCAGGGGATGGATCCAGCCCATGGTGTGCTTAGACCTGGCCCGCGGGGCCACCCTGGAAATAGTGAAGGACTGGCCCGCAGTGTCTCTGCGAGTGAAAACAGAGCTCGGGAGTGTTGCGTGTGGCTCCCCTGAGCTCCGTTTTCGTTGGCAGAGGGTGGCAGGAGGCCATCATAACCGAAAAGGGAGCTTGGGAGCCTGTTTTTGCTGGCCAAGCGCTCAGGCCACCACAGGCTCCCCCCCCAACGCGGGTGATGTCAAGCTGGCTATGCCCACCATGCCCCCCCCCTCACAGTCAAACACAACCCGGATGAGGGTTTCATTGATCAAACTCAATGAAATCGAGTTTGACACCCCTGTTTTACCCCGACTTCCAAGAACAACAAAGAGGCATCTGACCTTTTAAAAAGGAGCAGAGTATTCCCCAATGGCCTTTTGTTGGTTTCAAATACGGTATTTTTCGGAGTATAAGATGCACCCTTTTCCCTCAAAAAAAAAAAGGGTGAAAATCTGGGTGCGTCTTATACACTGAATTCAGCATTTTATTTGCCTCCTGAAACCCCGCCCCCTTTGCAAAAATGGCCATGCATAGCCTTTAGGAGGCTTCCAGGGTGCTCCTGGGGGCTGGGGAGGGCAAAAATGAGCAAAGAAATGGGCCATAATAGGAATCCCAAAGCCCCTTCATTACATCATCACCCAGCAAGGCTCAACCAAGCCTGGGACTCAGGAGAACCTACAAAGTTTCCCCTGCATGGCCTCATGGGAGTCTGACAACCAATCAGAATCCAAGCTCAAATTCAAAAGCCCAGAGAGGGCATAAAACCCAGACACTCTCAGCTTCTCTTCCCTTTTTTTACCCAGGACCTCAAACTACGTGATCCTGTCCATCATTAAGACCATCTTTCAAAGCAACTTCCATGAATCAAGTGTCTTTCCCCCCACTTGGAACTGAACCCAGATGGACATTTCTTCCAACAGTACAATCCTAAAAACAGGGCAGAATTCACTTAAGAACCGTCTCGTTTGGCAGTAGACATGTTGGGAGTCCCTTGCAGCCGTACGCGAAGGATTACCTGCGTGTTACACAGCCCTTCAAGGAAAGAAGACCGCTCTTCTTATAAAGCAGCCTTGAGTAACACGTTCCTTTGTTTTGACATTTGGCAACACCAGTGAATTGAAAAAAAGGGGGGGAAAGATCTGTTTGGCTAACCAAATCATCCCAACGCTTTCTCAGAACAGAGAGTGAATTTCTCTTCCTTCTTACTCCAACCGCCTTTGCAAAAAAGGTTGACCTTGCTTGAAAATCGCTGATTTTCAATGCTGGGCCAACCCGGTTTGTTTATACAAAACCAGACTTGAGTCCTTCAGCAGGAAGCTAATTGCCAACCACCTAAAGCAGCTGATAAAACTCTCTCTGCATTGTGAGTTTCCAACTGTATTTATCCAAAACACGCCCAGAAGTTTCACCCGCTCTTTACTAAAAAGCCTTTTGGACCTTTCTGGTGAAGCCTAGCTCCAGAGTTGTTGCTGTTGTAGCTGTTAGTTTTTCCCCTTTGTGGCTTATTGCAAGAAAAGAAGAAAGCAAAATAAAACCAGAGAACAGAGATCCAAGAAACGGATTCAAAACAATAACATCCTAAACCCAAATACGAAGAGAAACGCAGCTCGTGTTGTTAAGGTTTTCCTTGATTAAATAAAATCATCGCTTTCATAGCTCTGACGCCTGCAATGGAAACAGTGAGATTTCTCCTTTTGTTTAAAAAAAAAAATGGTTTTATCTGCTCACCGTTTATCTACTAAAGCCCAGCTGCGGGGAGGCACAGATTGGCCTTTTATCCTGTAGGTCTGTGCAATTCCTCCTCCTTACTTCTTACTACAAAACATACTTCCTCCCCGCCCCCCCATCCAGTTGCTTTCAGTTCTACGCACTTCAAAGGCCAAAGAGGACATTATCAAGACTCTGGAAAGTTCAGTGTTTTTAAATTTCAAGTATGGAGTCTCAAGGACGAGGGAATATTTTGGAAGCCCGTGTGGTAGGATCTAGTCTCTATAAACAACTGAAAAGGGGGGTGGGGGTGGGGTGGGGAAGAAAGGCTACGATCTTGAATGTTGGTGAATTAACCTTGGAGGACGTATACACGCAGACAGAGAGAGACAGAGACAAAGAGAGGAGAGAGAGACAGAGACACAGAGGAGAGACACAGAGAGATAGAGACAGAGAGAGACATACAGAGAGGGGGGAGAGAGAGAGAGAGGAGAGAGAGACACAGAGAGAGGGAGACAGAGGGAGACAGAGAGGAGAAAGAGACAGAGAGACAGAGAGTGAGGGAGAGAGACAGAGAGGAGAGAGAGACAGAGACAGAGAGAGAGGGAGACAGAGAGGAGAGAGAGACAGAGAGAGAGAGAGAGAGACAGAGAGAGACATACAGAGAGGGGGGAGAGAGAGAGAGGAGAGAGAGACACAGAGAGAGGGAGACAGAGGGAGACAGAGAGGAGAAAGAGACAGAGAGACAGAGAGTGAGGGAGAGAGACAGAGAGGAGAGAGAGACAGAGACAGAGAGAGAGGGAGACAGAGAGGAGAGAGAGACAG